AGGAACAATGGCCACAAGCTGAGGGAAGATAGGTTTAGGTTAGATATTAGGAAGAACTACTTCACTGTAAGGGTGGCCAGAGCCTGGAATAGGCTTCCCAGAGAGGTGGTGCTCTCACCTTCCCTGGAAATCTTCAAGAGGAGACTGGATAGGCACCTGGCTGCGGTCTTATGACCCCTGCCACCCCCAGTGCTCCTTTCTGCCCATGGCAGGGGGTTGGACTCAATGATCTGTCTAGGTCCCTACCGACTCACTGATTCTGTGAAAACGAATTAAATTTCTTCACAAGAATATTTGCTTATCTAGGTGTTTTTGAGCTTCCATTCTCACTTGTCATGATTTTTTCCAGTTCCCACTCATGTGGATTACATATTTTTCTTCTAATAATCTTACTAGTGTACACATTTAAATAGTGAACAGCATTTGTAGAGAATTTTTAGTATCCTTCATCCCTGGAACTGATACTGAAACTACTTGTGCTATTGCAGACTAGACAAAACTGTCCTGATTGCTGTTTCAGAAAGTGCTGAAATCCACTGTCAGCAAAGCTTTGTTTGCCTATCGCAGCAGTTGACAACCTTTTTAGATAGAGGTCTGGAGTGACCCAGTGCCGGCCAGAGGCAGGCAGTCCCCAAGAACTAGCCACAACCACTACTTTTCCCCACAGCTGCTTGGGGAAAGTGACTGCAAGTTGAAGCCCTGCATCTGTTGCTCACTGCAATAGAGCAGTGTTTGATTCCCTCATGGCCCCTTTTCCCCTTTGTAGCCATGTGCGTCTATTTAGGCAACATAGGGAATGTGTAGTAAGGAAAAAAAACCTCTATTGCACCGATCATTGCTCTCGTCACTTCACTGTGAATAACTGGATCTCTAGTCTTGCATCTGAAAGAATCAGTGGCATTCAGCAAGCCAATTTTATTCATAGTATCATCTGCAGGAGGTGGACTAAGCTGTTTTGTGTGTAAATAGGTTTGCATTTCAAATGAAATAATTTTGATTTAATTCAGTGGTGGTCAGTCTTCCAGTTCTGTGGGCCCAATTCCATGTGCAGGATCAGCTCATGGGGTCAGTCTGCACACTGGATCCAGCCCTGCAAGCCAGGCCATGTCATCTTGGTGGCAGGGCTTCTCACATGCCCAAACATCTGGCAGCAGTGGAGTGGCAATTAATGCTGCCACTGCTCCCCCACCAACATATTTCTAGACCCATGAGGAAACCCATGGGCCAGATCTGGCTTGAGCTGCAAGTTGAATACCACTGATCTTGTTAAAGGGAGATTGATAGAGATGATTACATAGAACCACAAAATTGCAGGGAAAGCACCTAGCACTACTGTCTGACTTACTAGATTTCTAGTTGATGGCTTGCTTAAACTTTGGTTAGATGAAGTTATTAAGTGGGCATGCCTAGAGAACTTTGAGAACACCAGTTACCAAACTTTCATTGATCGTATTAAGGCAGCTCAACAACTAGTAACATTTTGTTGGCAAGCATAAAATTCATTAAGCACTTTTAAAGTTTAGTAGTAACTGATCTTTTCTGTGTATAGGTTCCATCCCCCATGAAGTGCCTCAGATATTAATTAATAGGGAACCTTTGCCCCATCTACACTTTGATGTGGAACTCCTTGGAGACTGTGATGTAATCATTAATGAACTATGTCAAAGGCTGAGTGGTGAATATACAGAACTTTGCTACAACTCCATAAAACTTTCAGAAATAACAGAAAAACCACCACGAATGCACAAGGAGCTTGAAATGCATTCAGCTGAGTTACCACCTACCCCTTTAAACATTTCTGAAGATTCTAGTTCACCTGAAAGAGCAACTCCCCCAAACTCTTTGGTTGTGCTTTCAGAGCATCCAACAAAATGTAGGGCAGAAAATTCTGAACTTGCCTCAGACTCTAATGGGAACTGCATGGAGAAATTCCAGGAGGTACAGACATCCTCAGAAAATCCTGAAAGTATTACTGGCCAGTTAACGAACTTAGAACATCCAAAAGAAAATGGAGCTAACAATGGAGAACAGAAAGAAAAAAATGATATAACTCCGTCGGTTGAAACTTTGAGGAAATGCTGGCCAAACAGATGTGCAAAAGAACAGATTAGCAAGCGGCTTGATGGTAAGTGTCAACGTCTGACTTCCTATTTTGGATATAGGTTTGGAAGGACTTTAAACCAATAAGATGTTGTAAAATTTTCTCTGTTGACTATTGACATTTTCTGTCGACTGATATTAAGTTCCACAGTACATAGAATCATAGAAAATTACGGTTAGGAGGGACCACAGGAGGTCATCTATTCCAGTGGTTCTCAACCTTTTTTGTACCAGGATCCACTTGTAAACATCAGTGGCCAATCCTGGGACCCAGTGCCCCCCATCCCCAGTGTGTGGGCAAGGGGTGGGTATGTGTGGGGCATGGGAGGCCTCAGGCAGCCCCTTGCAGACTGGAACTCTGCCAGCCTGTGAAGGAAACCCAGTTTCCCCCGTTTTTCTCCTTTAAAGAAGAATCCATTTTTAAAGTTTGTTCACAACCTTTTCCTATATTCTTGCGACCCACAGGTTGAGAAATGCTGATGTAGTCCAACCCCCTGCTCAAAGCAGGACCATCCCCAGGTAGATCATCCCAGCAAGGGCTGTCAAGCTGGGTATTAAAAACCACCAAAAATGGAGATTCCACCACCTCTCTAGGTAACCCAGTTCCAGTGCTTCACTACCCTCCTAATGAGAAAGTGTTTCCTGATATCCAACCTAAACTTCCCTTGCTGCAACTTGAGACCACTGCTCCTTGTTCAGTCACCTGTCACCACTGAGAACCGTCTAGTCTAGCCTAGCCCCATCTTCTTTGGAACCACCTGTTAGGTAATTAAAGGCTGCTGTCAAATCCCGCCCCCCCCCCCATCTTCTCTTCTGCAGACT